GTCTCTACTTCTCGCGACCGTCTCTACTTCTCGCGACTGTATCTTATTAACGCGGCAGTCTCTCTCGCACGAGACAGTCTCTTCTTATCGAGACAGTCTCTTCTTATCGAGAAAGCCTCTTCTTATCAAGACAGTCTCTTCTTATCGAGACAGTCTCTACTTATCGAGAAAGTCTCTTCTTATCAAGACAGTCTCTTCTTATCGAGACAGTCTCTACTTATCGAGACAGTCTCTACTTATCGAGACAGTCTCTTCTTATCGAGACAGTCTCTTCTTATCGTGCCATTCTCTACATCTTTCAACAGTCTTTTCTCTTCGTTCCCGCGACTGTCTTTTCTTATCGCAGCAGTCTCGCAGTCATGAGACTGTATATTCTCCTGGCGACAGTACATCTCATCATAGTCTCTTCTTCACGTTCAAAAGTGTATCGTCGACTGTAATATATATCGTAAATGTTTGAATACAAAACCAACAAATAAGGAAATAAAAGGAATACATAATTCATATCACGTTAGGATAGAGAATATTCAAGTTAATAATAAGAGAATATTCATTTTTCTATTTTCACCCGTCGAACAATTTGATACTAAAATGAATTTGAAAGTTGTAATTTGTGTGAAACGAGAATAATTCAGACGTTCGCGAGATGTAGCGAGTTTGGATTACAAGCGCGGAATGGATTAATTATTGCTTCTATTCCGTGTTCGCCTTCACGCCGAGCTACTATAATGGAAATTTTGCGTATTGAACGAGAATCAAACATATCGCCATTTCTTGTATTATCCGGCTAGGAACTAAATTCTGTTTATTATATAGTGGAATGTCTACCTGAAGTTGTCGAGAGAGGTTCCTCAATGCAAGGTTCATTTCAATTTTGTTTGTTTGCATCAAAATACCTCACTGAGCTGGAGTTTAGTTCACACACATTCATTAGAATGCAGTGTAAGTCAACGTAATTGTTTTAACCTTAGATTTTCTAAACTAGCACGCACCTCAGGAGGATGTCGTGACAAACTCATTAGGTTGGTACCGAGGTTGCGACTTGACGATTTGTACCCGCTAGTGTACAGGATAATTATAAGATTGGTGTGCATCCTCTTTTCTCATTAAAATTTCAACGTCTCCAGTACAATAGGATGCTCGGTACGGGATGGTAAGAACATGCTCTTCGACAGCGAATTCTAATTAAAGGGAAACTTGAAATTAATTAGTATATGTAACATGAAATGTTTGTCGTGTTGCTGGAGCCATACGAGGTCACGAGTGCACCATTCCTACTTATAGACGAGTCGCGTATTATGTTTAAATTGTGCGCCCAGGTGTCGTGCAGCGGTGGCATCCAAAGAACCGGTCAAGTTACATTCCAAAACACGCGCTTAGAGAAAAACTCTGCCGTGGAGCGTAATGACTGGCCATTGAGGTGTGAGAGCGCCTTTGTATTTCATGTCTTAAAATGTGTGCTCAGCGTTCAGCTGCCGGCGAGCTCAAAAAAGATTGGTACGAACGGTTCTTTTTTTAGGGACAACGTGCGGTGAGTTTGATGTAAAGTAAAGACTTATAGATAAGGTTAATATCTGGGAGCTGCAAAGAAACATCAATTCATAAAGAGTATGTAAACCTTGAGGACGAATAGTTGAAAATTATTTATTGGCAACTATATTCTTATATTAATTTAGGTTTAATGAAAGTTTTCGGTAGAACCTTCATGTCAAGGAGTGCAGAAACATTAAATAAATATTTTCTGAAGAAATTTATAACTGTTATTGTTGGTATAAAAATATGTATGCAATTTCATACAAATATCTATGAAATTTAACATAAATATATGTGAAATTCGCGGAAAAATCATCATATGTGAAATTCGCGTTCGTCAACAGTCGATGTCTAAAAAACACATTATTTAGGTGTAACATGTGGAATATTGAACCACCCGTTCAATATCCATGCACCACATGAATTTCAGGATAGCGCAAGCTCGATATGCATCACGGAAGGGTACCATAAATCTTACAAATAGTTTTACAAATATTTTTTGGAATGAAATATTTCCGAATTTTCGTTAATAATATTATGCACTCGTGCGATCATGTGTGCTGCAGGACTTGTTGGCCCCATTGCATACAAATGATCCCTATTAAAACGTCCCGATGGAATGGACTGGGGCCATAAAATGACTCAAAAACATGCAAGCGTGAGATTGAATCACTCCAGTTTCACTCCGGCCCTAAGGACATCTCAGTGATCAGTTTGCCTTTAGCGGAGCCATAAAATAAAGAAAGTGTTCCCGAATCAGATGAAACAATCTATCCAATCCCATCTTTTATACCTTCCGAACAACTTTAATTTTCTGGGTCCATATAATTGCGCTTGCGTGTAATTGAATTTGGTTCCATTAAGGTGAGGCGCTGCCGGCCGTAAAGGACACACTGAAATAAATTAAACATTTTACCCAGCGCCGCGACCAATTTCCTTGCACTGATTTGATAACCAGATCGTTCATTCGGCCTTGAAAAATACAGGGTATTTTTTTAAGGTGAATTCTATTGAGATTCGGTCGAATTACTATAGATACCTCACGGATGTGAATGTTTTAAGAGACCTGAAATTACTATATATACTCGTACAAGAATGCAGATCTCATTTTCCACAGCGATTGCTTTTATATTTAATTTGTAGGTCGCATTTAGGTTTACGCTCAACAGCGACAACCTGAGCTCATTAATAAAGCAGTTAATTTCATAGTTCAAAATATTTCTTTTTTCTAGGGCTGAATGGATTCAAGACTGCAACTTTAGAAAGATGAATCTGTTATTGCATGCCTGGAATCAAATCAAATTAAAATTTAAATTATCTCTTTTAAAAATGCATCATGGCTGACACTCTAATTAAAACTTTATTTTGCAATTTTATAATGTGTGAGTATTTGGAATAAACGAAAACTTACTTACGTAAAAAACCATATACAGAGATATGAATTAATTACGGGGCAATAGCGATAGAATATTCCTATAAAATAACTTTCTTTGAGGTTGAGTATTCAAAAAAATTTTAAATTTCATAAATTTTGCAAGTTGCCACACTTTTCTAATAGACTTGTGTTAAAAATAATTTAATACCATATTCATTATTTATTAGTAATGAAATATCTTAGGTTCACAATTGAAATATCAGACGTACTTGCAGAACGATTCTTCAGCAACCAACTGTAAAAAAATCCTCTCAATAAACAAAGGTTTATAGTAGAAAACTACTTGTACACTAATAAAAAATCCATACTCCATTTCCACGTATGAGTCTTAGTTTGCGCTAAAAATTTTTGCGCTTTACCGAGAAATTATTGCTTTCCAAGAACCATCATGTCTTTACCCATTCAATTAAAGGAATCCACGATTATTGATAATTACATTTAATCGACGTACTTGCTAGCCTCTGCGGCCGTTACTCATACAGCCTCCACATTACCTGCAATCCACGAAAGCAGTTCTTAATCCAGCACTTCATCATCCATTCCTATAATGAAACAAGCCCCCTTCAAAATTACATTCCCTCTCGACGACCGCACACAAAACTTTGATAATGTGGTAAATTGTCCCACTGAGTGCTTATCAATGAAGCTTTGCCCTCCAAGGAGCGGTAAGCCTTTGAATTATTGAGCGATTATGGGTGCAATTTTAGGCTAATTACCCGGCATTTATGAGCCCGCCTAAATGCGCTGGTTGTGCGTCATCCGAGCAGTACACGAGCCTGGCCAAAAATAGACCTTTATTCCTTTTTAAGAATGTGTACAGAATAGCAAGCAATAGATAAAATAGACGCCGATTTCAACTGTGCTAACTTGGTATGCCATTGCGACTATAAATCACATCAGAGCCCGATAACTACTCTATGTGATATTTTGATCATAGATATCCATACGACCTATTTCTGAATGAATACTGCGAAAATCAACCCACTATAATAGTAATAATAATAATCAAGAAGAAATAATTTTTAATTATTCATCGTGATTTCGTACTGCGTTTGGTAGGATCGGAATAACGACTTTATATATAACGCTAATTATATACAAACATCATCAATTGCCAGCAGTCGGTGCTTGAGTTCCATGTACAGCACTGAAACAACTAGCAAAATCACAATAACAATTAAAAAACAAGCACCATCAGATTTTGGTGTCCTTAGTATTTATGGAGCTTAATACATCCTGGGCACAGGATACATGAATCCTGCGATAGGCCGGGCAGCAGCATTCCTTTATATACATAAAGATCGCTATAGTCCAGGCACCAAGTCTCCTATATACGTGAAGTTATATAGATGTATAGGCCTGGTGCCAAGCCTTTCTAGTCGTATAATTCTTGCTATATGGACGTAAATCTGACCCATGTATACACTCAAGCTTACTATAGGCAGGGCACCAAGGCCAATATATATAAATGTATAGCTGCTAGAGGCAAGGCACTAAATAAAGCATTAATGGCCTGGAGGGAAAGCCTCGAGGCACTTTACGTACCAAGACGGGCACGCCTAGCGTAATTAAAGCCTCCTGAGGACCCTTCTTACCTGTGAACTGTGCCGGTGAACGTCAGCTTGGTACTTAGTTTTATCAATTAACTTCACAAGCTTTCCCTTCCGACGCTGGTAACAAACTTGTTTTAAAATAGCAGCAGTGACGCCTGCTTAAATGTTAGAAATGCAGGGAAATTTATACCATGAATAAATCAAGCGAAAAAAATATTTGAAGATTGAATACTTTTTTGGTTAAAAATCGATGATGGATAAGTCGCTGAAGATGGATCTACACATTTCTTGCGGATAATAATCGAATACTTTTTCATTATTAAAAAATAGCTACACAATCATAAATTAATAGTAAAATCGTTATAATCATATAATTTAAGAATAAGCAGGAAACTATTGATAAAAAATATACTTATATTATGATAAAGAAGTAATTTAGTTATTGAACATTTTACGAGATATTCTGCGTAATTACTCACCTACTCTATAAAGATTGTAGGTAAGAAGCATTGCAGCTCAAAAAACAGTTTTGGTCCATTCGTTCGAAGAAACTCAAGCAGAAAAGCTAGCCATAAATTTTATAGTCATTGTGTGATGATCAATAAAAATTTCGCAGTTTTTTATCAAACGCGGAAGCGTTGGCTGAGGAAAACTGTCACCTGGGCACAAGCAAGAGCCGCTGGGTACAGAGGAGGCCTCAGTCACACACCCACTCACTAGGGAGAGCTGCGCTCGACTGACGGTGATATGTGCGAGACACGAGATATGTAAGCTCATCAGGTCAAATATAGGGGATCTTGTACTGAGTAACGATTAGTCATTTGAAATTTAATATGACTGAGAATTTGGTCTATAGCCTGCATAAAATTTCCTCGCCAAGTTAATGGTAATATCCCATATGAAAATTCATATAGAGTTTTGGCATCATTTGCTCATTTTTACGAAAGATTAAATCACCTGAGTACAATTGTTATTTTGAAATACCTAATTTCTTTTCACCAAGGAAAGTATGATTTTTATTAAGCATCATCACGACTTGTCAATCATCCTACCTAAACCTTTAGCGAACAAATTACCTCTCTAACAAACGTAATGTAATCATGTTAGGGAATATTAAAAAAAATAAAGACCTAATAAAGCACTCGGAAGGAACTTTAAAAGAAGATGAATCTTAATTCATAGTTCAAAATTTGCTCAGACTAAAATTTTCCCTCATGGATTGCAAATTCCTCGTTTTTACTGAACTTTCGGGACGTGAACTTTCTGGACGTGAACTTTTCAGGGACGCGTTTAATAAACGGCCCATAAAATGCAAGTCGGGCGGCAGGACATCCGCTGCAGCTGCGGGCGTCGCCAGCCCAAGTCGCACTGAATTCTATTTCTACACTGAATTAATTTTTAAACCTGTGAATTTCCCTTGAATTTCTATAATTAACTTTGAATACTTTCAAAAATAATTAGAAAATGTTATTAATATGAAAATCTTGTTTTAAATGGTGTGAATTACTCTTAAGATGGTCTGAAATAAGCAGAAGAAAGTGTTCCTACGTCATGCAGATTGGAGTATTTAAGTTCCCGCATTAATTCCAAATAATATAAGGTCCTCACACTGACAATTTAGTCTAAATGCTCGAAAATTCATCTTGAACAAATAACTGCTGATAATTCTACTCATTAATTAACTCGGATTTGTACTTCAAAATTCTTGAGCTTATAAAAATATTTATTGATTAAATTTTTAGATTCATTGAGAAGATTTGGTCCTGATTTTAAAAGCCAATCTTTTCCAACACATGAAGGTATGAACCAACACCATCCATGTAGGTCATTTAATGGGTCGTCCCTTGAATGAATATTTCTCGAAACTACACTCCAGGCAATGTTATCATTACAAATAATTCCAACTTTACTTATCCTGCAATATAATTCAAATGCTGGCATCAAAATAGTTATGACAATCCCTGGAACTGCATTGCAGGCAACACACCCTAAGACCTGAAAACTTCAGCTTGATTTTGCTGCTGTATAATTCAAAAGCTGGCATCAAAATAGCCATAAAAATCTGTCGTCCAAACGGCGTGGTTCAGGCACTGGATGGCTCCGAGGATAGAACTCTGATAACTACGCATTTCTGTGGCCGGCAAAAATTGTTGAAGTAATTCAACTGATGTGCACTTAGATGGAACAATTTTAAGGGACAGATCAATAATTTTTCGGCTAGTTCTTTGCAACTTTGAGAAACTGGACGTTGTTATTAGCAACATAGAATTTCTTATCGAGAAGGCTTTGAAAATTAAAATAAATTTATGACACAGTAAACAAAAAAAACTTCCCCTTGTTATATGGTTCCTTATTCTGCAAAAAAAATTCAATGTATTACGACTAAATGCACGGAACGATTAATTTTACTGCGTCTATATACTATAATGTGGATATAGGGGAAAATATCTGCGGTGCTTCAATGCCAGTTCAAGTTCAGGAGCCTGTGCACTATTGAGTTCCAACAGCTAATATTGATGCAATCGTGGTAAAATTTAAATGCGATGCAGAAGTGCACTGTAGGCTTTTCTCAGATTCCAGAAAGTTTAAAGTTTTAGCTACACATACACTGCGAAAATGAACGACTCCCACGGTAATGGCGCTGCGCAGTATTTGCATACGTAACGCCTGGCGAGCTCAACGTGCAATTCCTGCAGCGGCAGTTCAGTCCTACAATCATGCCAGCGTCGCACATTCAACGCCGTTTGAGATTTTAGCCTTGCCAAGTGACCTCAGTTTATTTTTATTTTTTGGCGTCTAATATATTCAATATTTAAAAACATTGAACGCGAATTCATTAAATATTGTGGGCCATTACCCAAGGTGATAATAAAGAGAATAAGTCCACATAATAAAAATAATTAATTTTATAAATAGAAACTAATTGCATTGTAACTAATCAATAATGAATTGCAAAAATTCACTCAACAATAGCAAGTATCTAAATTAGCATCCGCTTGACTTTGTCATTTTTTTATATTAAATCCGTAGTTATGTCAAAAAAAATTGAGCTCTCACTAAGCCCGAATTTTTATAACGTCTATCGGGAAAATATCGCTTCATCCGCTCATTAAAACTGTATCATCTTCTTCACAAGAAGATCTCCCGTAGAAAAGGTCGCTCTCGTTAATCGCGAATTTGTTGAAATTTGCTATCATCCCATAAGTTTCTGTTCAAAATACGACCAATAAGTGCTGGATTTTCCGAGCAAAATCATCCCTCATGACTCCAATTAAGTGCGAAATTTCTGAAAGAAACTCCCTTCGCGAGGCTTTTTTCATAAAGTTTTGGTTTATTGCGAGTAAGAGACCGAAGTTCGGAGGAACGATGGCAAGTAAAGTACAACCTCTTAAGACCTTGGTTGAATTCTCGACAAACATTCTAAAGATGATTGTAGGCTTTAAAACGACCGCTATTTACTCTCCCTCCCACACCCATGCCTAATGCCCACATTAAATTAAAATACCCCTGGAAATTTAAATCAATGAATTTACTGGTCATAAATCGCGCTTGTATTTACAAGCAAATTCTGTCACATAATAATAATATTAATATTCGTGTAGTAAATAATTAACCGGCTACGATATTTTATATTATAGTTGATAGCATCGCAACCATTTTAAGATGATGGATTGTGTTGCCGTCCACGACTGTTATATTATTATTTTTATGTGTGGTATTATGAATGCCGCAGCTATAAACTTTTCTCATACTAATAATTACATATTTTCGATACACGCGAATCTAAAATTAGTTCAGATAATGACTGCGAGTTTTTTTTTATTATTTCAATTTGGTATTAGAAATGTAATTATCTCTCATCTACCTTTTATTTACTTTTTTGTCCGCGTTCACACGCTGATTTATTGTATGTTTCACGTCGTTTAGTGTATACAAGTTGAGACTGAATAGAGAGAAGATAAAGATGCTAGGAGTGAGTAAGTGCGACCATCACACCAAGGCTCAAGATCAGATCGGAGTAGCAATAAATTTAAAAGAGGCAGCTTAGCGTGAAGACCGAACAAGCAAGCCTGGGACATCAATTTATTTCCTTAAAGGAAAATTCTCTTTGGATTTATAACCCCAACGAGAGGGAAGCGCTTTGATGAACGACTCGTTCGGTGAGCTAGCGTCTATAGAATATCACCTACGCGACTTGATAGACTGCATCTGAAAAATCTGCTGCAATCCATAGATGATATATAACTTTTGGCAGTGCATACAAGCATCACAGATTTAAAATTTTTCAAACTATTTTTGTAATTTTCACACTTGAAAATTATTCAAATTTTATTTATTCCACGTAAGCCTTTCGTTTTCTACATTAATCGGTCATGTTATGTATATGATCCTTAATTCGGAGTCTCTGACCAATAAAAAATTTAAAATTGACCAAGCATTAAATTTAATTTACCATGAGGTAATTTGAATATAGTCCAATTGGAATGGTATACAGCAATTACAAATTTACAGAAGTACAGTAACATATAATGGCAAACAAGTGCATGCAGACTAACATACAGTATAATGAATAGGCCTAGATTTTTCAACAAGATTTCATGTAATGTAGATCAGCGTTCTATAGGGAACAACCAACGTATAGATTCCACTTTGTACATTGATTTGATCCGATAATTTTGCTCCGATATGAAACGAAAGAATCAATGGATTTCCGCCAGTTGAGTTTGGAAATACCGTTTGCTTGAAGTTACTCATTTATGGGAAAAATAGTATCAATGGAGTCTTTCTTAGCTGCAGAATCAATGCCAATAACAATTGGATGTGTTTGCCAGAATCCACAAGCGAAAAATTATTCAAGCTAAAAATTGATCGAGTTAAAAATGGAGTATTCACTTTGATCCCAATCGAGATCAACTCTAAATCAAATTATATATTTTTTTATAATTTCGTAATATAAAGTGCTTTTTATCCGGTTCGGTTATGCTGCAGTTTCCACCAGCAAAAGAATTAAAGCCACACAGTTGAGAAATCGCACCCTTGGAGCTTCAAGATATTAAATTCATATTATTTAATATCTTTAACATATTGAATCTCTCTATAACAAACCTTTTAAAATTCAATTATTATTATAAATAGAATATTCCGAATCTCTCTTCATACATAAGGCTTGGCATCGGCTTTAACTTTGATCGTTAGAATTTGGAACATTCTAAGTTTGGAATCCAATTAAAGGCAATGATTAATTAAAGGCTGTATTAATTACCCTCCTAAAAATTAATTAAGTGGATGATTCTGGTGTTTGAAACGTTGTGCGGATCGTGGAGAAGTACTTGTTTGGGAGACAGGGTTTTAACTTATATGTTCAAAAAGTTTCTTAAATATTTTACACGTTTGGAAAATTTGTCATGTATAATTCCTTTTGTCGACGATGTCTTTTTTTTTTGAGTCAATTTGTGATGAAAATTAATCAGAGGAAAATAACTTCTCATGTATATTTCTCTGCAAGGCCAGAGCATTGCCAGCTATGATGCCATCGCGTCCGTCATAATTAATTTAAAAGTATGAATTATTTCCGAGCTTCTCCTATGAAAAAAGATCTGCTGATATTTTTCTCGAGCAGTTGACGGAAATCCTATAAATATCAAGCCTGGATTTTGTCCTGGATTTTGACCTCCTCTTTAATTCAAACCACAGGACAGTTTTTCAATGGAGCACGACAGGCGCTA